TTGTCAATTCTAAGGCTGGTTGTTCTACCTGTTGTCATTAGCTTGGTCTTCTTTATATTTAATTTTAGTCACATTTTTCACTGTGCTCCTTAACTTTTATTACTAGAGCTTTCAGATTCTGTGCATTTTTGGCTATCAGAGTAGTGTCATCAGTGTAGCGCAGGTTACTGATGTTTCTTCTTCAATTTTAAAGCCACATTCATCTTCCAATCTAGCTTCCTTTAATATATATTCAGCATGTAAGTTGAATAAATAAGGAGAGAGTATACAACTTGTCTCATTCCTTTCCCAACCTAGAGCCAGTCTGTTTTGCCATGTTCTGTCTGTACTATGGCTTTCTGACCTGTATATAAGTTTTGCATGAGGACAATGAAATGTTCTGGTATTCCCATTTTTCTAAGCACATTCCACAGCTTAATATGATTGACAGAATCAAAGACCTTTCTATATTCAATGAAGCACATAGTGACTTCTTTGTGGTATTCTTTGGTTTCTCACTTATCCAGCAGGCATCATCAATAATGTCTCATGTTCCTCGGCCTTTTCTAAAGCCAGCTTGAACATCTGGCATGTCTTTTTCCATGTAGGGCTCTGATCTGTGTTGGATGATCCTAAACATTATTTTGCTAGCATGTGAAATTAAGGATATTGTACAACAGTTTGCACACTCTTCATTTTGATATTGGAATGTGTATCCAGTCAATATCCAGATATTGACTTCTTTCTACTGTTGGCCACTGTGTTGTTCTCCAGATTTGCTGGCATAAAACCTTTACTGATTCTGCTTCTGTTGCTTGCCATGTTTCAACGGGTATTCCATCAGTTCCTGTAGCCTTCTAATTTGGTAATGACTGGAGTGCTGATCTAACTTTGTCTTTTAGTACTAGAGATTCCTATAAATAGGGAATATCTTCTATGGTGTTGGAATCTTGGATGTACTGTATGGTATTTCAGTATACTCTTTCCATCTTTATTTGATCTCCTTTGATTCAGTTATTATCTGTCCATTAGTACCCTTTAGCATACCAATTTGAGGTTGGAACCTCCTCCTAAGTTTAGAAATCTTTGAAAGTCTTCTGTGTCTGTTTCCATCTTCAGTGCGTTTACAGATATTGTAATACTGCTTCTTGTCTCTTCTAATAGCTCTCTGAAATGTTTTGTTAAGTTCCTTCTTGAGATTTCTGTCTTTCTTGACTTTGGCTTCTCTTGTCTTCTTGTCAATATTTGTTCTGACATCTAGTTTGCTTTATTCTGTTTCTTCATCTTTGGCAGTCTCTTTTCACAGTCTTACTTAACATCTTGTTTAAGTTCACTGCAAAGTTCCTTTGGTTCTCTATCAGTGAGGTTCAGGACTTCAAAGTGATTCCTGATGTTCTCCTTGAACATAGTGGATATATGTTCAAGATCATATTGTGGAAACTGACTGGCTTTCTTTTTCTTCTTTAGCTTAACTTGGAACTTGCACATGAGTAGTTAATGCTCTGTTCCACAGTTAACACCTGGCCATGTCTTTGATGCTATAATTAAGCTCCACCACCTCCTTTTGGCATTGTTTTGGTTGTTTGAAGACAGTGTTAGCTATGAAGAAGTCATTGGAGTATAGTCACTGATTGTGTTGTAAGCAACCATGGTTCTTGCTATACCCTTCCTAACTATAAAAGGAGTGCCATTCCTTCTTAGTTTTTCATGTCCTGAGTAATAAACAGTGAGATCTTCTGACTGAAAGTGTCCAATCTCTGCCTATCTCAATTTGCTGATGCCTAATATGTTAATCTGTAGTTGTTTCATTTCATCTTTCACTGTGTTAAGCTTTTCCATGTTCATGCTTCATATGTTCCATGTTTCCACTATAATTCTGTCTTTGCAGCTTTGGATTTTATTTTTCTACAACATCAGCAACTAGATGTTCCGAAAGGTTTAATCTAGCCACATCAGAAACACCATTAGTACTCTGAAAGGTCCTCAGCTTTTCCTCAGTAGTATGTCGAGTGCCATCCAATCTGAGCACTATATTGTTAATCATTTTATATTATATTATAAACATGTGGTTTTCTTGGTAAAAATACACCATTGTAATTTCTTTGTTTGATTGTTGTAAGCGACCCAAAATTGTTGGGAGACAGGTGGCCTACAAGTTTAATAAATTATTATTATTATTTATTGTCTTCTCCTGTGCAGTATGAACTGTTGCCTTTGGCATTGTCATTAAAGTGATTATCTGCCTCCACCAACTTCCTGTATCACTTGCTGCCCAATATAGATGCCTGCTTGCTTTAGCTGGGCAGCTGGAATGACCTTCAACCCATGGGTGACATTGCTGGGAATGTATACTCTTGGCATATACTCCTTCACTCATCCCTCCCATGAACGCATCCTCCTGCCGTGATTAGGCAGCACAGCAGGACTTGGGGGGGGGGGAGTGGGGTGGTGTACCATACACATTGTTTAAGTAACTTCTTCCACTGCATTCATCTTACTTTTATGCTTCTCCTGATATCACCCTCTCAGCCATATAATTAAGTGGATAGAATTATCATGTTAGCTTTTTTCAACAAATGTTTATCCTTGCAGCAATCTATGTGCTACCTTCTACCTTGCTACAAGCATTTGTATGCCTTAATTTTTTTTTCATCCATTTCCCCATCTTTAGTAAATATTCCACCAAAGTAAAATCCATCTACTTACGCTACATTTTTGCCATGTGTGTTATTGCAATTATTAACTTCATGTTCTATATCTAAAATAATTACGTAGGTCTTTGATACATTAGTTTTCAGATCCATATTCAGTGTTGCATTATGTAATTTAATAGTTTGTCCAAAACACTTGGATTGTCAACCGATAATAAAGTATTGTCTGCATACAAAAGTACAGATACATTCTTAACAGTAACCAAAGCAATCTATTGTCACTCTAAGTATTTCTTATACATTCTGCAGATAATCAGACAAAGAAGGGGGACAATCATCTTTCTTGTGTACCATTTGCTAAGCATTTCATTTACTCTTATACTGTATATGATATACTTCCATTGTGTACCTCATTTAATACACAATTTTCATATTTTTGTAAATGCTGCATGATTCAGTCTTACTGAATAAACATACAGTAAACATTCTTCCTTATATTTATACCATTTCTCAATTACTTAGTTAAGAGAAAAATGTGGTCTATACACCCTTTCTCAATATAAAGCTGTATTGCTCCATCAAAGTCCTTTCCATAAACAGAAAGAACCTTTACATGGATGGAAGGGCAACTTGGGATCCAAGCCCACTTTAAGCATTTACAGTTTTTTTTCCCTGCAACATATTTCTTTTAGCACATTATTCAACAGCATTATTCATAGGTACAGTGGTACCTCGGTTCACGAACTTAATTTGTTCTGCGACTCTGGTCGCGAACCGAATTGGTCATGAACCGAATCAAATTT